TTTCATCAGGGATATTGGCCTATAATTTTCTTTCTTTTTTTTTTTTTTAAGGATATAGTATTTTATTTTAATTTTTTTCTTTATTGATTTTAGAGAGAGAGGAAAGGAGAGGGAGAGAGAGAAACATCTAATTCTTTAAGTTGTAGGGTTAGTTAGTTTATTAGAAGTTTGTCTTGTTTCTTGAGTAGGCCTGTAGTGCTATAAACTTTTATCTCAGGACTGCTTTTGTTGTGTTTCATAGATTTTGTTATTGTGTGTTCGTTTTCATTTGTTTCCAGGAAGTGTTTTTGTTTTTGTTTTTTCTTTGATCTCATTGGTAACCCATTCATTGTTTAATAATATGCTATTTAGCCTCCATGTGTTTGAATATTTTTTAGTGTTTTTATTGTAATTGATTTCTAGTTTCATGCCTTTGTGATCTGAAAAGATCCTTGATATGATTTCAGTCTTTTTGAATTTGTAGAGACTTAGTTTGTGCCCTAACTTGTGGTCTCTCTTTGGGAATGACCCATGTGCACTTGAAAAGAATGTATATTTCGCAGCTTTGGGGTGAAATGTTATTAAACATAAATTAAATCCTTCTGCTGCAGTATGTCATTTAAGGTCTCTGTTTCCTTGTTCATTTTTTGTTTAGAAGGTCTATCCAGTGATGTCAGTGGGGTGTTAAAGTCCCCTACTATGATTGTATTGCTGTCTCTTGAAGTCATCCAGAAGTTTTAAAATATATTGGGTGCATATATGTTTACCAGGGTTATATCCTCTTGTTGGATCAATCCTTTGAATATTATGTAGTGACCTTCTTTGTGTCTTATTATGGCCTTCATTTTGAAGTCTATTTTATCAGATATGAGTATCTCTGCCCCAACTTTTTTTTCCCCCATCACTGTCTTCCTATGTGAATCTTTTGTTCTCAGGTGAGTCTCTTATATACAGCATATATATGGGTCATGTTTTCTTATCCATTCAGCTACTCTATGTCTTTTGATTGAAGTGTTTAAACCATTTTACATTTAAGGTTATTATTGATAGGTACTTATTTGTTGCCATTTTTATTCTTTATGCCTCTGTTCTCTCTCTCCTTCCCTTCCTTCCTCCCTACCTCCCTTCCTTTCTTTTTCTTTTGTCTTCTGTTTTCTTTCTTTTTCTTTCTTCCTCTTTTTTCTTCTTTCTTCTTCTACAGTTCCTTTAGCATTTTTTGCAGTGTTGGTTTGGTGGTAGTAAACTCCTTCAGCTGTGTTTTGTCTGTAAAGCTCTTTATTTCACCTTCAATTTTGAATGATATTCTTGCTGGATATAGTAGTCTTGGATTCAGTACCTTGCTTTTCATTACTTTGTGTACCTCATGTCACTCCTTCTGGCCTGCAGTGTTTCTGTTAAGAAATCAGCTAACAGTCTAATGGAAGTTCCCGTGTAGATAACTTTCTATCTTTTGCTGCCTTTAAGATTCTTTCTTTGCCTTTAATGTTTGCCATTTTAATTATGATGTGTCTAAGTGTGGTCTCTTGGGTTTATCTTAATTGGGACTCTCTGTGTTTCCTGAACTTGTGTGACATTTTCCTTCACCAGGTTAGGGAAGTTTTCTGTCATTATTTCTTCAAACAGGTTCTCTATTCCTTTTTTCGATTATTCTCCTTCTGGTACCCCTATGATGTGAATGTCGTTACATTTCTTGTTATTCCAAAGCTCCCTTAAACTCTCCTCCTGCTTTAATTTTTTCCCCCCTTTTGCGCCTCTAATTGGGTGTTTTTTTCTACTTTGTCTTCCAATTCGCTGATTTGGTCTTCAGGTTTTTCTTTTTTTTTTTTATCCTCACCGGAGGACATTTTTCCAATTTTTGTACAGATAGAGTGAGAGGGGGAGAGAGAGAGAGAGAAACATCGACGTGAAAGGGACACATCGAGTGGCTACCACCCGCACAACCAACCAGGGCCGGGGACAAACTGCAACCGAGGTACATGCCCTTAGCGGGAACCGAACCCGGGTCTCTCGGGACCGCAGGCCAACGCGCTAACCGCTGAGCCAAACCGGCCAGGGCCAGGTTTTTCTAATCTATTGATTCCTTCCAGGGTATTTTTTTATTTTAGCTATGTAATTCTTCATTTCCACTTGATTTTTGTTCATAGCTTCTACCTCTTTTATCATGCTGCTGTAGTTCCCACTGAATTCTTTGTAATTCCTATTAAGTTGCTTATAATTCTCACTAAGTTGAGCACTCTTAAAACCATTACTTTGAATTTTTTTATCTGACAAACTTCTCGCCTTCATTTTATTTAGTTCCTTTTCTGGTGATTCCACCTTTTCTTTCATTTGGGAGTTTTTTCTTTGTCTCACCATTTTCGTAGTCTGGTAGTTTGGGGTCAGGTGAGATGCACTGGGACATATAGACAGGTCAGTGTGTATCGGATAAGACTGCTATGCCCCCCAGCCTTCTTGTGGGACCCAGGGGAGTAGTCCCCTTGATTTTCTGAGCTGGGTGCTCTAGGAAGGACCCTTGCATGGGTTATGTGGGCTCTGCTGTTGCATTTGGGTCTTGCTTGCTGTTGTCCATTTTTGGATGGGTTCAGTCTTCAGGGTTGTTGACTGTGAGTCTCAACCCCAACCCTGTTTTGCCAACAGTTATATAGGCGCTGACAGAACAAAACAAGGCAAAACCAGACCAGACCAAAAAGAACCCAAAAAAAGTATCAGCAACAACAGTAATAAAAACAACAGCCTCAACAAAAAGATTAAAAGACAAACAGAAAACACACACAAAGAATACTAGAAAGTGTGAGACAAAAAGAATTAGAAAAAGAATATGAAAACAAAGAAGGCAAGGCAAACCCAGACCAACCCCCCAAAAAACCTAAAAAATGTATCAGCAACAACAGTGATAAAAGAAACAGCTTTAGCAGAAAGATTAAAAGACAGATAAACAGAAAACACACACACACACACAGAAAGCAAAGAAGGCAGACCAGAGATAAGGTAAGTATAACAAATAAAAAGTAGAAAATATTGAATAAAATGATAATGATAATTTTAGAAAGTAATAATGCTAAGTAAAATAAAATATAGACTAGGAAACTAAAAAGTGGGTAAAGAAGAAAAACATTAAAAATTAAAATTAAAAAACACACAACCACAGCAGCAAAAATAATCTTGCATCTCACTAGATTTTGCTCTGATGTTGTTGCTTCTGGCCTCTTGAGTTCCTGCCCTGTTTTTTGTTGTTGTTAATCCTCACCTGAGGATATTTTTCCATTGATTTTAGAGTGGAAGGGGGGGAGTGAGGGGGGGAGACATCAATGTGAGAAAGACACATTGATCGATTGCCTCCCGCACGACTCTGACCAGGGCCACGGATTGAACCTGCAACCCAGGTACGTGCCCTTGACTGAATCAAACCTGTGACCCATCGGTCTGCAGGCCAACTCTCCAACCACTGAGCCAAACTGGCCAGGGCAGTCCCTACCTTCTTGGGCAGTTCTCTGGTGCAGGCCAATGTGAATCGCCTTCCTTGCCTGGCCCTGGTGCTCCTGGCTGAAGCCCTGCAGGGCAGGACTCCAAGAAGTCTAGCAGGCAGGGCTCCCCTAGCCCAGAGGCTGGATCACCTTTGGGGCCTGCCACTTGAATGTATTTGTTCTGGGCTGCTTTCCTTCTTCCCCCACGGCTCTGAGCTCTGGGGTATCAGGTCCAGTCAGGATGGTTTAAACAGATTTGTGTTGGGGGTGGTACCTGTAGCTTGTAGGAGGAACAGGGGGTCACTTCCTCTCCTTCCAATGTCTCAACTCTGCCTGGGTTGCTGGCACCCTTTAGTTGCCACTTCAAGCAGAGGAGGATAGAAAGAAAAAGAAAAAGGAGGAAAAAAAACAAAGGCCCTGCTTGGCTCTCTAATCTTTCAGTATTGCCAGCTTTTGCTGGGTGGGGCTTCTGCCCAAGTTCCCACCTGGCCAGATGTCCAAATCCCCAGCACTGCCAGGCCCAGCCCCTAGATGTCAGTTTCCAGCCTAGAACTGTTCCACCGGTGGAGAAAGGGATGCCTCCTCATATCTCAAGGTGGGGAGGATTGCTCCTCTTTCCCCGGGCACTCTGACTAGCCCTCACCAGGGTTCTTTCAGGGAATAAGCGGTCCCTCACATTCACTGCTGGGTGATCCTTTCAGACCCCTCCTCAGGTGTGCAGTTCTGCTTTGAGGCCCCTCCCAGCCACCAGAGCCAGGGCGAGCTTTCTAGGCTGGTGGTGTAACCAAGAACTCAATTTTAGCGTGGAACAGGGCTGTCTGAGTACCCCGGTAGGTCAAATCACCTCTGATTCCCAGTATCTGATGCTACTTGGGCTCCCCTTTCTTTCTCTGTTGCTCTCATTTGGGGGTCTCTGTGTGGGGCTGAGTCCCCCTGCTTTGAGGGGGCAGGAGCTGTGCTGTTGCACCTTTCCTCCCTCTTCCAAGCTGTGCTACGCACCTGTGCGAATTCGTTCACCCACTTCAATGTTCTCCTTTCCCCTCTCAGCCCTCCCTGCTTACAGGATTTTCAATCAGCTATTTTCAGGTGGTTTTTCAAATCTAATATTCTGCAGTTTAGCCCTAAGTCCAGTCCTTTGCTAAGAGCAAACAGACACAACTTCCTAAGCTTCAGCCATCTTTCCTCCTCTCAAACACTAATGTTTTTGCTTTATATTTAAAACCTTAATTCGTGTCTTTTTCTGGGTAATCAACAAACTGCTTTCTTAATTTTATTCATTTTGATGTAAAACACTTCCCTATGGTTTGCAACATCATTATGCCAGGTGGTATGACAGTTTTTATTTTTGTTTTTAAACTATCCATTCCAACTTTGCTGTGTAAAACAGTCGTTGCCTTCAAATAGCTGAGAATTTTGTAGAAGAAATACATTTAGTAGACAATAATAATGGCAAACTGACTGTCTTATTTCTTATGCCTTGTTTGACTTAATTATCTATTTTTTGGTTTAACTGTTTTCTTTCTCTTTCCACCCATGTTTTATGACTGCATCTTGCAGGAGAGCCTTATAGATGCAAGTGAAGATAGCCAGCTAGAAGCTGCCATCAGAGCCTCCTTGCAAGAGACACATTTTGATTCATCACAGACAAAACAGGATAGCCGCTCAGATGAAGAATCTGAATCTGAACTTTTTTCTGGCAGTGAGGAATTCATATCCATTTGTGGCTCTGATGAAGAAGAGGAGATAGAGAATCTTGCCAAGTCCAGAAAGTCTCCCCACAAAGATTTGGGGCATAGAAAAGAGGAGAACAGAAGGCTGCTGGCTGAGCCCCCTGCCCGAACTGAGCCTGGAACAACCACAAACCACCAAGGATTGCCAGTCATGGATTCAGAAATATTGGAGATGTCACCTGAAAAATCAGATGGAATAGTGGAGGGCATTGATGTAAATGGTGAGTTATGTTTTAGACTTACTTTACTTGAAACTTGAATATTACTGAAGGGATGTATTTATTTGTTTAAATTAATCTGTCATCTTAAGCTCCTGTATCTTTTTTTTTTTTTAACTCCAGGACCAAAAGCACAGCTGATGTTGCGGTATCCAGACGGAAAAAGGGAACAGATCACTCTTCCAGAGCAAGCTAAATTGCTAGTAAGTCTATCTAATTGTGGAAGCAGTTTCTTGAAAGAGAGAAACTAATTAATTGGTGTAATTGGCTTGATGATTCTTTGAAATAAGTGTTAGGTATTCAGTCTGACCTCTGATTGGAAATTTAACTAAGGTTAATCTTAATTCTAATTAGTATATTTCCTTCCTGAATTAGCTTAGACAAGTCACATAGGGTCTGTTCCAGTCAAGGCTTTTGTATTCCATGGTTGCATTTGATTTTCCACCTGAAAGTATTACCCGGAAAAAGGTAGTGAAGACTACCTTTGAAGACTGGCTTTCTTATAGCTGGAACTGCAAAATGTTAAGAACTAAGGCCAACCCAGCCAATGTGACTTAGTGGTTGAGGGTTGACCTATGCACCAAGAGGTCGCTGGTTCAATTCCCAGTCAGAGCACAGGCCCTGGTTCCGGGCTCAATCCCCAGAAGGAAGCGTGTAGGAGGCAGCTGATTGATGTTTCTCTCTCTCCCTGTTCCTTCCTCTCTCTCTAAACATCAATGAAAGCATATTAAAAGTAAATAAATAAATAACAACACAACCAAGGCCATTTTTCTGTGTGTTTCTCTCATGTGAGGCCTATTTGGTTTCCCCCTTATAATTCTCTGCTTCATACCATTATTCTCTCTGTGTACTGGTGGCTTTTGTTTACCTCTGAGTGTGTACATGGTCCATCATAATGATGCTGAGAGCCTTTTCCTCTAAAGTCCACAGCTAATGGACTTTTCCTCTGTCTTTTTTAACTCCTAGGAAAGAGAATGCGAATGAGTCTCACTAGCTTAGCTTAGCCTATGAATGAATCTCCCTTGGATCAGGTGTTTTTACCAGGCCATTTTCTGTGGTGAGAGAGAGAGTCTGATTCTTGAAGACCGTGTGACTAAAATGCAAGTTGGATCTGGCTGCTGGTGCTGATAACCAGACTGTTTCCCCAGGTCTCATTTGGAAGAGAGCGTGAAATGAGATGGTGGAACACTTTTTTGAGAAGTGTGGTTGTGAAGGTAGAGGGACCTGGGCAGTAATCAGAGGGGAAAAAATGATTGAAGGAGAGACTGAGCATGTTTAAGTGTGATAGGAAGCATCTACAGAGAAGGAGATGTTGAAGATACCTATAAAAGTAGGGATGTTCTATAGTGGCATGGTTTCTGAGTAGGCAAGAAGGGATTTTTAGTGCACAGGTGGCAAGGTTGGCTATAGGTAGAATGAAGGACATGTCTTTGCTGATAAAAAGACAGAAGTGAAAACTAATCAAATGTTTAAAATCAAGGATAGTTATTGGCTCTTCCACAAAGGTAAGTTTTGGTTATCTGAAAGAATAACTTGAACTTCATATCTTTTTTTTTGGTACGTGCCCCTAGCGGGAACCGAACCCAGGACTCTCTGGTACACAGGCCAATGCTCCAGCCACTAAGCCAAACTGGCCAGGGCTGAACTTCATATCTTAAGATGATAAAAATGAATGTTATATATGTAATTCTTTTTTTTTTTTAATCCTTAACCCAAGGACATTTTTGCATTTATCTTCAGATAGAGTGGGAGAGAGAGAGTGGGGAAGAGAGAGAGAGAAACATAAATGTGAGAGAGACATATCAGCTAGCTGCCACCCACATGACCCCAACCGGGACCAGGGACAAACTTCAACCGAGGTACATGCCCTGAGCGGGAACCGAACCTGGGATTCTCTGGTCCACGGGCCAACGCTCTAACCGCTGAGCCGAACCAGCCAGGGCATACATATGTATGTAATTTTTTTTTTTTTTTTTTTTTATCCTCACCTGAGGATATTTTTCCATATTTTGTACAGATAGAGTGGGAGGGAGAGAGAGGAAGAGAGAGAGAGAGAGAAACATCGATGTGAAGGGACACATCGAGTGGCTGCCACCCGCACGACCAACCAGGGCCGGGGACAAACTGCAACCGAGGTACGTGCCCTTAGCGGGAACCGAACCCGGGTCTCTCCGGACTGCAGGTCGACGCTCTAACCGCTGAGCCAAACCGGCCAGGGCATGTATGTAATTTTTTAATATGCTCTTTTTATTTCTGTCTAACATCCTTGTCTTTCTTTTGTTTTACATAGGCTTTGGTGAAACATGTCCAGTCTAAAGGATATCCAAATGAACGTTTTGAACTTCTCACCAACTTTCCTCGAAGGAAACTCTCTCATCTGGACTATGACATTACATTACAAGAGGCAGGCCTTTGTCCTCAAGAGACTGTCTTTGTACAGGAAAGAAATTAGCATCATGGCCTGACCTCTCTCAGCTTACCCCTTTTTTTCCTTTTCCTGTGAGATACCATGTCACTGAGTATGCATTTTGGCTCATAGGACCATAGAGCCAAAGTTGGGCAAGCAAGTCACCTATCTTCTCTTTTATTCCTTGCTCTCTCCTATAATAAATCTTTCACTTCCTACCCCCCCCCCCTTTTTTTCCCTCTCCTCTCCTATTTTCGTCTTTTTCCTACTTTTCTTTCTTTCTTACCTAATCAGGTGACCAAATGGAAGTGTAAGGAGAAGACCTCCTAGTACTGGCAGCAGGAAATGTATGTTCCAATAAGTGGTCTCTTGCATGGCACTTTTTCGGGATCAAATGATAATGTTACTACTCCTCAAACTCCTTTGGTAAAGAAATGACTGATTCAGAATAAGAACGACCTCCTTTTTTTGTAAGCCCCATTTTTAGTAGGGAGAAGAAATTCTCTAACACATTTTGTTTTGTTTTATTGTTCATGTAAGAAATATCACATAACAAAATATCCAGGCTTTTGTTTACATGGAACAAGCATCCCTTATAATTATTATTCATCATATTTTAAAATTATTTTAAAGAATTTCCATCCTCCCAGCTAGAATTATTTCCATGAGATGTGTTATTGGCAAAATCAGTGTTAAATGTTGGGTGAGTAGCATGAGATGGCTTTCAATGCCCTAGCCTGAGACAGTTTTCTTTGTTACTACTCTGTAAACTGTATTGATCCTGCTAGTCCTGGAATGGACTTTTAGTGAGCATATTGTGGTGACTGGGATAGGAAGGTGCTTGCTGTTTTTGCCAGTACAGCATATTAGTTCCTTTGGCCCTTCCATTGTTTGGGTCTACAAGTGATCTATAGGAAGGCAGCTATTCAATAATCATGCAATACAGTGGCTTGTAGTTTTAACCACTATGGTTATTGATTGTCCTGTGTGCTTTAGGCATACTTATGTATGTCCTGGGGGGAAAAGAAAAAGATGCAGCTGAGAGTAGCTAACCTTGTTCCTTTGGTTAGAAATAATGATTCATTTTTTACCCCTGGTTGGAACAGTCTCTAAAAGGCTCTGGTGACTAAATGAACTAATTCCTTATGCTTTTTCTTGCAAAAGGTCTCAAAACTGAAAGCCAGTCTAAAGGGAAGACCTTTAAATTTAAGTCATAAGACAACATTTAGTAAGGGAGGTGGGGAAGATTGCCAGTAGTCATCAGATGTTCTGGGTTTTTTTCTGCCAACAAAAGCCACATTCAAATTGTAGTTGGTAAAAGCTTTTTTTAGTATTGTTTAGAAGATGCCATGTTGAATTTACATAACACTACTGGACTTAACAGCTTCACTATATGCTCAGTTCCTATTTAGAGCTTTAAATTGTTTTTCTGAAGGGGTAGTGGTGAGTCTGATGGCAAAATCAAAACTTTAAATTGCTATGAAATGTACCTTATTTTATCAATTGGGGATTTAGATTGATTGATTCTTCTACTTGAAGAACATAAATTGCTATTGCTCAGAGACCTTTAGGTTCCCATCTATTTTAAGATCACTTTCTTGGTAACTAGGGGATTTTAAAAAATGATGCTTGTGTGTTGCTAGTACTCAGTTAGAGAATATGGTTTCAATGGTTGAACTTTGAGGGACCCACCCTAAAGAACGAGTAATGTTTCTCCTCAAGGAAATCATGGAAAATTTTGTTTATTCTTCAGTGAGTCCTTTTGGATTAATGTTCTTACATTTTTTCTAAGTCTGTGTAAGTGCTTATGTATAAGTATATAATTGTATAAATATTTATAAATATATTTATATAATTACAATTTCATTTATACCTTGAGTCAAAGTTCTCTCTTTAGACTGGTGACTGAGTAGTACCACTTTGGTGTTTTTTCATAGGCTCTTGAGGCTAACTAGCGCTTCTGAATTATTGAGGAAATACGGTTTTCATGTTAATTCCTCAATTTTATCTCTGAACTTGGATAATAGACTTACTGTCTAAGGAATAGAGCTGTATACTATCAAAGAATGCATTAGAGGGTAAAAAATTGTTCATAGTAGACAAGGTCAGAATCTAAAAATTCAGGGAGATACAGGGTAAGAAGTGAGGGTATGCCCAGTTTAGGTGACATGATGGCACCTATCTCCACTCAGCAAAGTAAAGTCACAGCTAAAGCCAAAATCTGTCAAAAATGTGAAGTCAAGAACTTTCCCTGTAGGACTCTATTTTATTCTTCTACCTATTAGCTTCTCTTTATAAAATATGTCTAGAGAACCTGAGACAACATGTTCATTAATGATAGGATATAGTTCTTTTTGATAAGCTCAGCCCTGGCATATCCATTTGTGAGAAACCAAAGTGACTTTTTCAACTGTGAAATGACCAAGTATATATATAAAGTGATTTAAGTAAGCATATTAAAGAGATGGGGCATGAGATATTGACTCAACTTAGAGACAGCTGGGGTGTTTAAAGTACAAAGTGTAAAGGATTTTATTTTATTTTGAGGCAGGAGTGTAATTAACCTGGGCTTTGATATAGGGGTCCTTGGGAAGGAGGGGTTATGGATTGTACATGGGAAGAGTGAATAAGGAATATTGCTTAATTCAAGAACTTAATCCACTTAGGGAGTATACTTCCTCTTGTTTTATTTCCTCTGCAAATGCTTTTGCTCTTTAGAGGAGAGGTTTTATTGAATAGATTAAATGAGGTTAGCAAGATAATTTAAAAATAGCCATTCCTTGTGGGTATTGGAAACGGCTTGAAAGAGAATATAAAAGTTCGGGAGGAAAAGAACAAGATAGACTTTGAGAGTAAGTAATGAGATAAATACAGGGAGATAAAATGAAAATCATTGGGGAAAAAGTGACAGGAAACTCTTGAAATTGGTTTAGGAGGGAACCAGAGAAGAGAAAAAACAGCCAAATGTGGGAAGAACAGGGAACTAGTTTTGATAATTAGCATGTACTAGGTACCGTATATGCATTTTCTCCGTTAATCTTTCTAAGAACCCTACAAAAGGCATATCTTCCCCATTTTAGAGATGAGAAAATTGAAGTTCAGAGAACTTGTTCAGGATGTCACAGCCAGTAAGTGGCAAAATTAAAACTGGCATCCAGAGTCCACATTTTTTTCACTCCAATGCTATTGTCTCCTACAACAGGAGAATCAGCCCAAAAGGCTATCTTCCCATTGTTTGGCTCTTTAAAGTATTTGATTATGTTTCCATAAAGCTGGTGGGATTTGTGCTATGCCTATAAATTCCTATTTACACCATTATTTTGAGGGGCTGATTATTGTTTTCTTGAAATGATGGACTGATAAAAGTGTGAAAGGAAAATAACTATGTGGCATTATTTGCCAAGAATAAATAGAAATGATAAAAAGGGATTTTATCTTTTTTAAACCACTTTCAGAAAAGATATAATTATCTTTTCTATATCCCACCCATACCAGATTATTGAATCCTTTTAAGTATATCTTTTTAAATATTTTATAAAATTCTTCTTTGTATAGATCAGTTATTTATTGAGTTCTTAATCAAAGTTGAAAACATTTTGAAATCTAAGATTTAGTTCCTGCCTGTTTAATTCAGTTGGAGAGACACTACACATGAGATAATTGGAGAACATGTAAATGCTTACCTTTCTGGGGCTGAACTATAATTGCAATAGACATTTAGGAAGGGAAAGAATAGTGTTAACACTTTAGTTGGGACAGTCTTCACAAAAACATAAAACTGAAAAGTGGCAAATACTGTAGCTAAAATTTTCTTTTGACTCACTTGTATTCTTTAGTTGCAACTTTTGTAACTACTTAGGACATGGCATTTATCAGTAAGGCATACCTAATACACAAATAGGAAAGGATTACTGGTCCCAGGACTAAAGATTTTAGCTAGCAGGGATCTTACTTGGACACTTACCAAATACTAGAGGGAGCCACTAGCAACTGAAAAGTGATGGAAGGATTTAACTTCTCTACCCAGGTACAAATTAAATGTATGTTATATATGATATGCAGAAGGGGTACTGCATGTAGGCATAAAGTGCACTTGGGTAACAGCTCTGCTACTAGTTAACAGAAAATTGGACTAGATCAAGAGTTCTCAGTCTGTTCAAGTAAAATAACTTGTGATGTTAAAATTTGTCAGGGGTAGGGAACTGTGAAGTATTAATATCATTCATTTTATTGATGGAGAAAATGTAAATGTGCATATGGAATTGCAGACCCCTTGCAGAAACTCGAGAAACCCACAGATTGTAGACCACTGAATTAGATTATCTCTGAAGTCCTTTCCACTCCAAAAGTTTATGCTTCTAGTCTTTCCTCTTTATTATATATTATCCCTAGGCTAATTAAAAGTATACTTGTTAATCAGTTCCTTTGCTTTTTTTCTGTGTCCAGGTTTCATTTTCCCAATAACTAATCTCACTTGACTGAAATCTCCAAAAAGGGGAGTATAATAGTTATAGATCTAGTAATGATTATTTAAACACAATATATTAATTAAAAAAACTTGATGAAGTGTTCCTAAACATTGTGGAGTATGACTAAAATTTAATGAGAACCAAATATTTCACTGACACCAGAGTTAAATTTTATTTTACCTGTGTGCTTAAACAAAGCTCTTTACTCACTGAGCAGTTAGGAAATTGATTTGTGATTTGTGTAAGTTGTAAAATTTACATATTTTTGGCAGAAACAACTTTTTCAGATCCAGTTAGGCTGACTTAAAATTATTTCTTATCCCACAGAGTATATCTCCATTGTGTCATTCTCTTTTCTCGCCCTCTTTCATTTAACTACTTAATAGTAAATCAGAGGATGCAGATTGATGAATAAGTAATGTATAAAAAGTAAATGAGAGTAAGAAGATTCAACCCTCTGATGAACAGGGCAGTTTTCCAAATATAGAAGCCTTGATGAAAAGGCTACTTAAAGACATCTGTGTACTATGAATATTCAACTTTATTGATTTGCCTTGGCTAGCACTTCAGTTATTATCTTGCCATTAAACTTAATTGCACTGTACACATTATAGAATAGTGGCTAAAGAATGTTCTTTGGTACTGAAAATAACCAACAGAGAATACCAAGCCAATATGTTGATTTCTCCTGTTATGAGAAATTTGGTATTTTAATGATGGTTATTTTGACTCACCTGTATGTCAGTCCTGCTATAGAGAGGCCACATAGAATCAAGAGTATTTTTCATAGAGATTATGATGACCTTGGTAGTTTTCTCATTGAAGAGAATTTGTGGTTAAAATTACTGGATGTATTATATGAGGCCCTTGATTAGAAGATCTTTTAATCCTTTTTCTTTTACTTTTCCATTCTCTGTTCCTGATTTTTCACATCTATTCTCTAAAAATTAGTCATGATTTTTAATGAAATTGGCTGTTTAAGAAATTCACTTCCAAGTTTTGGTATGTAACATTAAAAAAAATTATAAGTTAATATTCAAAGGAAGAATTTGAGGCAAACAATTTTATAGCTCATTTTCTCTCTACTTAAGAGTTCTTTCATTCCAAATATAGACTGGCTAGCTCCACGACGCTCCTCCCCCCTTTTGTGGCCTGCAGAATGCTCTTGTATTTTGCTTAGGACCTCAGTCATTCTCATGAACATGATTTTTGGTACAGGTCTTTCTTTGCCATGTGATCTGAAAGAAGAATTGAGTAGTCCAATACAAACTACATTAGTAAAAACAATTTAGCATTGCTGTAAAGTTGTTGTTGTTTTTTTTTTTTTTAAATAACCACATTTACTTGTAGGATTAGCGATACAAATATTAATGGTACTATTTTGCCTAAGAACAGTCACATATTAATCTATTATGGGAAATTGTCTTGTTGTACTTAATTTTCTTGCAACAGACAACAAGATTTTATTGTTTGCTTAAATGGTATTTCTTCTAAAGGGATCAAAATGCCCAAAGAGTTTATATCCATATAAGATCATTTGGATTTTTAAATAAGAAGTCAGGCTAAGCTGGATTGAACATAAAATTTTTATCTCCATTAAAAGAAGTTATTAATCTAACTGAGCTACCATGAATCATTCATTTATCAGATGTGGTAAATAAAATGGGAAACATTTCAAATCATTAGATAAATTCTGACCTGGAATTGAATTCTCTCTTCCTTAAAAGCTTTTTTATTTGCCTTTTTCATAGATTCAATGTGGGCATCTTAATTGATAAGGGATTCTTGATCTGGAACCATTCCCTGCCATTCTGCTTTTCTTCTCTGTCAAAGTCACTGGCTTTAGAGTACATGTCACCAGGATCTATTTCAAGTTAATGACATTGAAATGTTGATGCTCAGTTGGATTTGTTGCTGTTTTCAACAAAATGGTTTTATAGAATGCTTTCTCAAGGCTTCTGTATTCTTAAATAATGGAAAATATCAATAAATTAAATGGTGTGATTCAAAATATAAATAGATTTTTGACCCTAGTCATATGCTTTTAATAACTTTGATAATTTATTGCCCTGTAAGTTAAACCTCATGTGGAGTGAGTATTACCACCAGAAAATCTCATTTTATCTGCTAATTAAAATGAAAGTAGTGTGTGCCCTCCACTTTTTAGTTAATGAGTAGTAAGCTTATAGTAGGGGCCATTTATCTTACCCATTTGGGCCTTGGGCCTTGTTATTCCTGTGTTTGTCCCTTCAGTTTGGAAAGGCAATTTAAAATACCTGCTGGGAAGCAGTAAATCTATGAGATAATCCTCTAGTCTTTGATTTAGAGAGATGAGTACCAGTTCATGCTAACATGACTCTTAGACTTTGAGGGGCTTCCATTCAAGTTTTGGCATGAATCTTAAAATTTTATTCACTCCTTTAAGAATCTTTCTTAAGAGGGTTTTCCTTTTGATTGTTAACAATTTCTAAGCATTTGATGTCTTTTTTTTTAACCCTTAAGAAACAAAAGTCTGTTTTCGAGAGTGGGTATTGATTGTTCCATGGAAACTCAGGAGTGTTTGCAGTCTCTGCATGCTTTGTATGAGTTCAGTTTGAACAACACGTTTTCAATCATCTGGAATGTCCAATTCTGGCATGTCTTCACTAATTGTGTTTTTTAAACATTTTTCATGTTATTTTTCAAACCTCACTTCCCATCTTACTCAGAGAGGTTAATCAAGGAATGAAATTTATTTGGGGATGGGATGGGGGTGGGCTGGGTACTTGAGTGAAGTCAACTTGGGGTATTTGCTTAAAGTGTTTCTCAAGCAGTTCCTAACAGTATTCAGAGATTCCCTGGGATGTTTGTGTACTCAACTTATTCTGGACAAAGTGGTGGTCTTAGTGATACTTGCATTCTTAATGCAGGATGGCTCTAAATTTCATCTGTAGCATAACTTTGTTCTTGAATCCAAGAAGATAATGGACAGAGACAGTGCTCCTATTGTAGTGTTTCTGGCAAGTGCTCCCTAAAATGCACATATAGTTCTCAGTTTTCTGGGCTTTTAATCCCATGGTGCTAGGAGATACCATTTGTTTCTGCAGCTCTTCTGAAAAATGGAAAGAAGGCTTTGGGACCAGTGAGTAAGGGGCGCTGGATCATTCGCTAATTTTTTTTGTTCAAGACACACTAGAGACCCTCCTGTATATCTAGTAAGTTATAATAAAGGTGCTAGGGAAAGCCTTACATTTGAACACACATGGAGGCCGGAGAAAATCTAAAACTTGTAGGAGGAGAAAAACATGCCATTAGATAAAATAGAGCTGTAACTGCTGGCTAAGACTCAATGGAACTTCCACTTGCTCTAAAACCAGGGAAATCTTAGATGACTGGGTGTGATATATCTATAGATACAATATAGTCTATAGGTAAATAATTTCTAAAATGAGGATCTCTCAGTTGGCAATCCTCTGGTTTTGGCTGTACCAAATTGTGAATATTCTTGCTGTGTTGTACCCAGTTGCTTTATATTGATACTGCAACTTGAATTGGGTGGGGGGTTGGGACGATTTGGGTGGGGGAGGGAGGGGAGTGGGACGATAAGTCTTTTGAAGACATCAGCTCACTGTGCTGAGAGAGGGACCAAACTCAAGGAAACCTCTGATCTATAAATTTAACTGCTGCATTTTTTATAAATACATGTAAATGTCCTGTTGTAATATTTGATCTTGGAAATAAAATAAAAACTTTTCAGTATTAGTTTTTTCGTTTGTTTGTTTTTTTGGTATTTTGTGAGAGAAGACTGTGGATATTAATTTTATTAATACAATTCAGGTTTCAAAATCTTGCCCTCATATTCTCATGTTTATGACAGTCTCAATTGACAAAAGTTCATAGTCTCCTGGTGCAGCCACTATGGAAAACAATATGGTGTTACTGAAAAAAATTAAAAATTGATCTGCCATTTGACCCAGTGATCCCACTTCTAGCAATATATCCTAAGAAGCCTGAAACTTCAATCAGAATATATGAGCCCCTATGTTCATAGCAGCACTATTTACAATCGCTAAGATCTGGAAACAGCCCAAGTGTTCATCAACAAATGAGTGAATAAAAAAGCAGTGGTACATATACACAACGGAATACTATGCAGCTGTAAGAAAGAAAGATCTCTTGTCCTTTGAAATGACATGAAGGGACCTGAGAGTATGTATTATCCTAAGCGAAACAGGCCAATCAGAGAAAGACAAATACCACATGATCTCACTTATTTCTGGAATATAATGAACAAAAGAAACTGATGAACAAAATAGACCCAGAGACATAGAAGTAGGGTACAGACTGACAAACCTCCAAAGGGGGTGAAGGGACAGAGGGAGAGAGAAACCACAAAACATATGCACGTATGCGTAATCATGGACATAGACAACAATGCTGGGGACAGGGTGGGGGCGGGTATGGGGAGGAGGGTGTCAATGGGAGAAAAAGGAACATTTGTAACAAATATTAATTTGAAAAAAGTTCATAGTCTCATTGTCAAGGGTAATGCTAGCTGCTTTTCTGGTCTTAGTAGTATGTTGGACATTTATGGTAAGCGCTCTATAAATGTTGATTGAATTGTCGTGAAACCATTGGATTTGCTAGCCTTGTTAGGTAGGTAAGATTCTGTATTTGGGCAATTCAAGTGTCTAGTTTTTCAAACCAACAATAATGACTAATTAAGGACTCGGCTTAAGCAAGTGAAGGGAAAAAGTAATTGTTAAATTGATGGGAGAAAAGCCATTAATTATATTATATTATAGAAATTGGGATTGGTGCCTAGCTCACATTAATCCCTGAACCCAGTCTGTGATATTATTCCTCCTATGGAATGTTCCTCATCCCCATGCTTCAGCAACATACCCTCATGGGACTTGCCATCTTCTTTCAAGACCTTGTGTCCCTGGCCACATAGACTGGTAAAGGGGTGGGCATCCTACCTAAACTGGGCCAGTAGAGCACCTTTTCCATTCCTCCAGTGACAGACTACCTATCCTTAGCCTTAACTAGCCTCACTATGTACCAACTGATAGATTAGTGATGAGCAAAACAGACACAGCCCCTGCCTTCTGGGAACTTTCATTTTAGTTCAGAATACAGACAATAAGCAAATGAAAAAATACAGATTTGATTCAAATACAATGAAATTAATAAAATAAAAACTAGAAAAGGAGCCAGTAGAGAATTCTGCTTTAAATAAGATGTGGGGGAATAATATTAGGTTGAGACCTGAAGGATGAAAAGGCCATAGTAAGAACAGGAGGAAAACTTCCAGATGGGATGACAAATACAAAGGCCATGGGCCATGAAAGTTTTGGATGTATTTGAGGTATTCAGAAAAGGCCAATATGCCTGGCCTAAGTAGTGAGCAAAGGGAATAGCATAAAATGAGTAAAAGCCAGATCATATAAGGCAACCACCTTAGGCCCTGGTAAGGGACTCAGATAGTGTCTCAGGTGCGATGAGAAGCCATTTATTATATGGAGAGTGGATTGGAAGAGTCTATTACCAATGATCAAGGTACAAAACAAAGGTTGCCTGGATCAGAATAGTAGCAATGGAACAGGGAATTAGTATGTAAATTAGAGATGCATTTTGAAGGTAGAATTAAAAGACTGTTGGATTAGATGTGAGGGAAGGAAGGAACAGAAACCAAGAATGACAAGTTTTCCAGCAAGTGAGTAGGTAGTGGTATCATTACTAAGGCAGGAAGACTGGTGGATCAAGTAGGTTTGGTGGAGAGAAAGCATTTTGGCTGTGTTACTTGTGATACTTCCAAGTTGAGATATAGTAATATAGGAAGTTAGATACATGAATCTGAAGCTTGAAGAAGAGGTGGACTCGAGTTAAGATTTGAGAAATTGTCAGTGTTAAAGATGGAGTTTAGTACCATGAGAAAGAATAAGGTCACCTAGGGAGAAAATGAAAGAAGAGGGTCCAGAACCTAGGCTTGGAGATCACCAACATTAAGAGGTGGAGTCAAGGAGGTACAACCAGTGAGGAAGGAGAAACAACAGAATCAGGTGTCAAGAGAGCCCAGAGCAAAAATAGCAGCCAACTATGTCTAATTCTGCCTGGGAGTCAAGTGAAAAGGACAGTGAAATCTTCATGCGATAGAAGTCATTGGGTAGATGAGTGGATAAAAAAGCAGTGGCACATATACACAATGGAATACTATGCAGCTGTAAGAAAGAAAGATCTTTTATCCTTTAAGATGATGGAGGGACATGGAGAGTACTATGCTAAGCAAAATAAGCCAATCAGAGAAAGATAAATATCACATGATCTCACTTATTTGTGGAATATAATGAACAAAATAGACCCAGGGGCATAGAAGTAGGGTTCAGACTGACAAACCTCAGAGGAGGGTGGTGGGGGGAAGGGAATAGATAAATCAAAGAACTTATGCATATATACGTAACCATGGACATAGACAATGCTGTGAGTGGCAGGGGCAGGGTCGGTAGGAGGGTGTAAATGGGGGGGAAAGGAGAAACATCTGTAACAAAAATAAATCAGTTAAAAAATAAAAAACAAAAAAGTCATTGGAGACCAAGAACACTTTCAGTGTGAGATTGGAGATGGAAACCTAATTTGAGTGGGTTGAAATTTGTAATATTTTTATACTAATGAAGAAAAAAAAAAAAGAACTTCTTCTTTAGCAGACTGGTATAAATGGCAGATATTTCAACATCTCCTATCTTCCTTTTTTGCTCCCTCCAATTAAGGGAATGTGCTCTCTTGTTTAGTCAGCTGTCAGTTGAGGTTGGAGCCCACCCCCAAGGAAGCTGATTAGTCTGTCACTATTTAGGGAATATTGGCCTGATTGTGTAAAGGACAAACACATGCTATGTGAATGTACGGAAAAAATTTCCATTAGGCAGCCCTTACCCCCTGGATTTTAAGAAAATAGCAAGAACTAGCTACTAGAGTTAATAGATAACCACTGCATTGTATAGATAACCATTGCTTCGTATACACTGAAGCTGCTTGCTCTCTCAGACATCACGGCTAATCGCAGATATCCGCTTCTGTACGTGCTTGCTCGCTCGCAGACCCTTAGCCCAATATCTTAACAGGGGCTAAGACAACTATATAAGCAACCCTCCCCCTCAGCTCGGGGCTGCTCTCTCTGTGTAGGTGGGACAGTCACTGTGCGGCTAATAAAGCTCTCTTAATTTGAGCCCAGTTCGGAGTCTGAGTCTGGTCTGTCTCATTGGTCTACCACATTTGGAGGCCCGAGTGAGATAGACAAACAAGGTCCCCGCTTCCGGCGGATTGACCTCCTCAGACTCGGGGAGACAGGTCCATCCCAGGAGCGGACGGGCGGTCTAGGGGAGGGAAGGCCTCGGAGAGACGTTCTCTGCCCCGGACGCCGTTCTGCCCTGGAATTGTCTCTACTCCAAATTCCATCCAGAGAGCATCTGGAAACCCTGGGCCCACGTTCGGTTCAGCAGACAGGACGTCCCTCGGTAAGTCTGATTCTGAAAACTCTGCAGAGTGAGGGGAAGTGGATCTGCTGGATCCGGCACATAGATCCTGCCCCAGGGCCATAGCGAGACGTCGCTTTTGGCCCCGGTTCGGTTTGTCTGGCTTTTTGTCTGTCTTATTTGTTTGTCCTTTTGTGTTTTGTGTTTCTGTGTTGTGCCAGCCTGTGTCCTTGAAAGTGGGTCAGGGACCTTCAGGACCTAGGACCCCTCTTCAATGTCTCCTTGATAACTTCTCAGACCTTTCCAAAGGCGCCTCAGATTACAGCATCTCAGCAGACCCTGGATTCTTGCGCACTTTGTGCGAAGTGGAGTGGCCCACTTTCCGGGTCGATTGGCCCTCCCAGGGCACTTTTGATTTAGGCTCTTTGCAGTTCGAGGTGTCATTTATGGGACTCCTGGACACCCAGACCAAATTCCTTACATTGATGTTTGGATTGACCTAGCTACTGACAAGCCTAATTATATTAAGAAATGTTCCTGCCTTAATAGGAAGAAGATTTCAATTGCTCAGCCTCTGCGGAAGCCTCAGAAGCCCTCGGCTCCTGCTTCCTCCCAAAGGCTTTACCCTGTTCTTTCAGAGCCCCCAGAAGACCCCCTCACTGACCCTTTGGGGTCACCCTCTTATCAGCCTCCGCCACCCTCCACTGTCGTTGCTGGAGAGGCTGAAGCCCTTCAGCAGCTCAGTCCTTCCCATACACGTGGCGGCACCCCTTATAACCCTCCTCTGCAGGTGCCAGACTCCTGGGCTGCCGTCCTGCCCCTCCGGCAGGTTGCTCCACCACCGGGTGGAGACCAGACTCGGCCCTTCATGGACTATGTCCCCTTCTCGACTAGCGACCTGTATAATTGGAAACAACAGAACCCCTCCTTCTCTGATAAACCCCAAGGTTTAATCTCTCCCCTAGAGATGATCTTCCACACCCATCAGCCCGCCTGGGATGACTGTCAGCAATTGTTGCAGGTCCTGCTCACCTCCGAGGAGAGGGACAGGATCCACAGAGAGGCAGCAAATTCCAT